TCCCAATTCAAACTTTTGCAGAAAAGCTTTCATGAAACAACCCAGCTGAGTATTGGATTCTGCAGTATAAAACAGCATTTTTGTTTTCATTTCATTTCATTTCATTTTTCTAGGGTTTATAGACCACTCTAGTCAGAACCGAGTAGCATACAATTCCCCTTCTGTAGGTTGGGTTAAAATATATATATAAAGAAATCAATCTTATCATATAGCATAATATATTATCCCAAATTGTTGGAAGATACGTCATCCAAGTTGAAGACACATTCCTTTCATTGTGAGAAGAAACAGCTTAGCTTCTTGGGGGAGGTTTACTATTATCATTTCTCTTCTTGCTTAATGTTGGCTAATAATGGGCCTTAGTTGGGAGTGCTAATAGTGCACTGATAATGAATTGATCTACTCATAGTTGATGTTTCTATTTATAGCTATATGCCCCTTTCTCTACACTCTTTTTCTAGGTATTTAGTTCCAACAAATGTATATATTCTCAAGGTCATGGTTGACCCAATTTTAACATATGTCTGTGAAAGCTGGCCAACAGAAAGGCTGAACAAAGAAAAGAGAACCCCAAGCATTCAAATTGTGGTTCTAGAGAAGTTTGTTGGAAATCCTGAAAGAAGAACAAATCATTCAAAACTAGAGGAAGTAAACCAGACTGCTCACTGAAAATGCTAAATATGAAGCCAAATGTTAAATATTTGGGACACGTGATGCAAAGGGAAGAGTCACTGGAGAAGAACCTGATGCTTGGAAAAATGGAAGGCCATCAAAAAAACAGAGGCCAGTGGAAGACAAGGTGGGTAGGTGCCATCACTGAGGATACAAGTAGGAGCTTACAAGAATCCAAAGTAATAGTCCTGAAATAATGGTTTGGAAGTTATTGGATGATTGGACAACAAGCAATTCCAATCCCCCTCCTCTGTGGCTCCTCTCAACAGTTAGTCAGTATCCTTATTAAAAAATTTATCTGCAGACTTCATGGTTACCCTAAGCCCCCTGACCTCTCTAGTTTTTCTTAGTTGCATGTTCTTGAATTACAGCCTGGATTATATAGAACCTACAGAAAAGAGGTAATTGCTACAACCAAGCCAAGATTCTCAAGTGAATTTTCAGCAGTTGTCCAATGGTTCAAACCCTGGACATCAGCTTCAACTTGATCCAATGGAAAGGATGTATACAGTACCAGAAAATACCCCCACTTTGCAACATGGATAGTTCAAAAGAGGCATTTTGTTCTTTTGCAATTTTCAAAGGACAATCAGGATTGCAGTTTAGGATTTTTTTTTTTTTGGTAAAAAAGAAGGCAGACACTTAACATGGGGCCAGTTTTTTTTTAATTCTCTCTTATAAGGAATCCACCACAGGCTTTATAACGTTATGCATCTTTTTCTTACTTATAAAAATAAGCAGAGAAAATAACTTGCATCTTTTCTCATTGCTGCAATAACTTTTAAATAATCTTTATATGAACATTGGTGGCTATTTTTTTTTCTTTCTAAAAAAAAATGCAATTTAATAAATAAATAATGACATATACCAGATATGCTCACTGTTTATTCCAATATTTGGCCAAAAAAATTAAATTATAAATACATACTTTATATATATATGTATAGAAATGGCACAAAATATCTAAAGTGCGAAAAAAATCACAATTAAATCATGCATTTTTCTTTATTATTTTTCAGATATGCCAACCCTCAATTTGGAGTGGGATTCATCAGTGTTATAAGGCCAGATGTTTTAAGAATGGGTGCACTTTGATCTAGTATCACATTGAGTTATGATCACTGTATTGCATGGACTTATAGCACACAGAGTTCTATAATTCATCTACCTTAAGCTTATCAAAATTGCTTAGATCTACACCAGATTATTTCATTTAGGCTTCTGATAGGTATTAAATAGGGAGCATTCAAACTACTCTTCTCCTCAAGGTGGAAATTAATTTTGCTCTTCTCATCGTATGTTGATGATGAGGGAGGAGGATTTACTTTTTTAGTTGGGTGCAAAACTTTTCATATTTCGACCATTTATGCACCCTTCAGCCTTGAAACAGCCGCTCACAATGGGCTGCTTCAACATTTCTGAAGTGCAATGCCTCCAAAAGGATTGAAATGGAACCTGAAACCATTCATTTAGAATGCAGAATGGTTTGAATCTGAAAATTTTGCACATAAACCCTTTAAAAAAATTCTCTCTCCTCCCCTTACAGGTTTTTTTTCCCCATAGAAACCTTGTTCCTTACGAGTGGCTAGCTCTGTTCATACAAGTCACTTTTATGGTATGAAGAGGGGTTATAATTATGAAAAAGGGGAGGAGGAGGAGGGGAAGGCAAAAGCCCCTGTAGCTTAAAGCAAGGATAGGCAACCTGTTATCCTCCAGGTTCTTTAGGTGTTAGGCACAACATACAGCCCTTCAGATCCAGCCCAGATGCTTGGAGATGCAATTCAGTAGAATCTGGAGAGCTGCATCTTGTATGCTCTTTAGATTACCAGAAAAAAACTCCCATAATCCCTTGCCACAGCTTGATGAGATGTTGACATCCACAACATCTTGAGAACTCTACTCTGCCTAAGGGGTTGAGGTGGGGATGAATTTTGCTTTTCTTAAGACCATTTTATGGATTAGCCCTAAACCCCATTCAATTCTGCCAACTTAGGGGTGTGCGCTTGTCTCATGGACAAATTTGGGTCTGGACTACAGTGCAACAGCATCCATGGGAAGAAGTCAAAAGAAGCAAGGTGGTGGGGTAGGGCTTTGATTGTGATGCTACATCTGCTATTGGCCCCTTTTGACCCCGTTGTTGCTACAGTGACCATTCTTGGGAGCACACATTCTTTGTCAGGAAGTCCCATTTTACTACAAAACTAAATGTCGATGTCAGTGCAACTAGGGTTGTGGAAGGTTGAAATTCCTCTGTGAATCAAGATCTGGGATTTAAGGAATTACAATACCTGTAAATGTACAGCAAGATCCTATAATGTGATATAACCTTTTTGCCAAATAGAGTTTCCTTCTCTCTCATTCTCCCTCTCCCCCCGCCCCGTCCAGAATTCCAGCACGAACTTAATATTCAAGCTATTTACTGTGGAATATCAACGCTCCACACTCACAAGTCAATAAACACTCTTCACTCCCCAACCAACCTTCATTTTAAAGCATTGTGGAAAAGACGTAATCCTGAAACAAATACAAAAGGAATCGAATTTACCTGAAAAGTGTTAAGTTTATATTCCACAGCATCACACCTAGACCGAGCTTGACTGCATAATATGGAGTATAAAAACCTTGCTACTAGCAACTTTTCCCCCCTTCTCCTTTGCTGCTTATGATCCTATAACCATATTTTCTTGGGCTACATGCATTTAAATGAAGACAGCAAAGGCTGAAGAACTGCCCCAGGTGAGAAATATATTTTTAGCAGCAAGTTAATGCTTAAAGGCGTTGTGGTAAACATTCTATTGCTTTTTTAATAGTTTTCCATGAGTAGCATATTTTTCAGTATATTCATTGTCACTATTCACTTCTCTCCAGTAAGGCAATGGTCACCAGCAGTTGCCACTTTCCTAACTGAAGAGGTTTGCAGGGGTGTCCACAAAGAGGGCAGCAGATGTTTTAAAAAAAAAGGGGGTGTGGACACACCATTTGCAGCCACCATCTTGACTTTTTTGACCCCACCCTCTTGTGGATGCCCTTGCAGATTTGGAATGTACATGGATCAAGTCTCTATGGAACCTGACTGCAGTCCAAAAGATTTCTCATTGGAGGATGAACTTCACGTAAGATGGAAAAGGAAAAGATTTATTCTGATTTGGAAAGTGCAATAGGTAAAGTGCCTGTTTAGATCCTTCCAGCAACATTTCTAAGCCAGTGCATTAGGAAAGCTAGTTTTTCAGGGGAGCAGCAAGGCCTTGACTAAACAACCCTCTCTTAAGTTCAAGCTGCTCCTAAAATACCTCTTTTCAAACTGGAGAATCAGAGAAGTGCCTGATGGAATATATTGTCTTTAAAAATGACTTGCAGATAGAAAACTAGGGATCAGAAAGGGTTAGAACCTACTCTTCTTCCTGACATGCTAGCTTTCTAGATGCATTCTCAGCTTCCCAGCAGAAGGGATACATTCCAGGAACAATTTCTCCAGAATTAATTCCAGCACCCAGCATAGTTGGGCATGCTGCCATAGTCCTACAGAGCTTTCCAATGGAATTTGCCTACATTCCCTGGAGTCACCTCACGCCAAACCATTGTGAAAAATACAAGCTGGCAGAGCCAAGTCAACTTCAGAAGCGTGGCGCTGCTGCCCGCCAAGACTTGCAATAAATGAGAAAAGAGATCCCAGGAGAATCCATCAAATATACTTGGCCAACCTCTTCTCTTAAACTATAAGCTGACCCTGAGTTTTACGGTTCATCTGAAAGGCTGCGTCAATGGGACATGAACTTTGACATTTCAAAGGCCGCAAACCAATGGGTTCACAGCAGACTAAGTTAGCTGAATTGGGCCCCTACTTTGTAATTTAAGTCATGACAAACCTGACCATGAATCGGAATGGGACCCGAGTTGAACTACTTAGCCTTGCTCCAACCCAATGCATTGACAAGTTAAGGCAAGCTCTCACTGGACTGTTAAGCTATGTGTAGGCACATCATACGCAGCTCAGTTTTCTGAAGTTATTTCTTTAAGCCAGTGTTGTCCAAACTTGGCCACTTTAAGATGAGTGGACTTCAACTCCCAGAATTCCCCCTGCTGTA